CAAGCTGTTGTAATCAGAGGAATCCAGTAGCTTGTGTGCAGAAGTTTTTGGAATTGATTAAGAAGTTGTCTGGACTGCTGGCCTTAATTGTTGATATTTATTGGAATTCTGGCAAAGCTCCACTTATGATGTAAAGAGGCCATATGGGAAAAGACAATCACATCTTCAGCGATTATAGAGCTATTACAGTAATTTCTAACCTAAGCAAATTAATGAAATGGCTGAAACAAGAACTCATGCAATAAATGACAAAAAAAAAAAGAAAGAAAGAAAAAAAAAAGAGATATGATTCAACATGCTATTATTTTTTTAATGACATTGTGAGACTAAATAAAGATAATCACATTTATGCAGCTTACTTGAATTTCTCAGCAGCATTTGTCTTATTACTGCACAGTATTGAGATTTAAAAATAGTATGCTACCAAATCAATACAACAAATTCAAACTGATTGAAATCTCAGTGGTAGATCTCAATGTATAATCATTAATGAGAAGCTACTGAAAAAAGAGACAAGTTTCCAAAAAATTCTAAAGCAAAAGCAACAGTGTCTCATATTTGTACCATTAACTTGAAGGAGTCTACAACATCGTGGCTGAAAATGATGCAGAGGAAGAAGAGGTGAACACTTAATAGATGTAACTTTCTTTAAGCAGTAAGATTTTTAGAAAGGTCACAGACATTTGACCAAACTCAGGGTAGCTTGCCTAGGAATTATTAGGCACTTTTAGAGACAGGGTTAACATACATGAAAGACGCACCAACATTTGAAAGTCAAATTCAACCTAGTGACTAGAGACCCTCAGGAAGAAGAGGGATCCTTTCAGACTTGAAATTAAGGTTGAACATTATCGCCAAAATATATTTTAGTTGAATTAATACTTTATTTGGCTTCATATATTGCATACAGATTGTGTTGTGCAGTATGTCAACTATAGTGACCAAACCAGAACACTGAAATATGTGACCTTTACCAAATTCAATGATGTATATCCACAATTTGTCCTATCTCCACTATAAAATACTGATGTTTTCATCCATAGCAAGGTTAGCCAAGGACCATACATTAAAAAATGTGTATCAGAAGTGATCAGTAGTATTAGTTATCGCTTAAAAACTGCTCAGTTAACATGGTAAAAATAGGGTTTGAAACACAGAGCAAAAGCCACACTGAAATACACCTTGGTGTTGAAACCTATTACTCAGTAGCTGAATAATATGTACCTGTAATAACACGTAAGCAACACAATGAAACTTCCAACATATGTGCACCATCAGTCTAATGTTAATTAAATGCATTATCAGAACTAGAGGAAACAAAATGTAACCAAGTTTAGTGTGTGTGTGTGTCTAATAATGAAAGCACCCTAGAGGAGTCTAATTCATCCTTACCTGGTATTGTTCTAGCTGAGGTTAGAAAAATAGTTCATAGAAGTCAGAAATATGTTATTGCTCACTAATAGTCACAAGTGGCAAGTTTTGGAATACCTGAAATAAAGGTACTTTTCAACCATGTCTACCTATATAATCAGAAAGTAAAAGCTAGACATCCTGCAACTGATGGTCACCATGAATACATACTTGAACTGTATTGTATGCAGCCCTTCAAGAGCTGCACCTGAGATGGAAAACCAACCCCTTAAGTCCCATAGGTATAGTGGGACTTGACTAGGGTCATTAAGACTAACACAATAACAAAGGCAAAATTTAGGATGGTTGTCTTCTTAGTCTCTGGTTACCAGTCCTGAGGAGTTTGAATACAGTAACTGAGAAGGCTTCATTCAGTTAGTAAGCATTTCCTCACATCTCTTCAAAGGCAATCAAAGAACCTTGAATCTGACTTTTAACGTTTGCTTCTCTTTTTTTGCCTTGCCTTGCCTTCCCTGCCCTTCTGTTCTCTGCTCTACCTTGAATGATTTATTCAGTTTATCAGTGCATTTAAGCCATCAGAATGGACAGTGTTGGTTTATATCTTGAAGCCAAAAAAGAAAAGTATGTTTTTAGGTTAACTTGATTCAATTTGAGATAACAAGAAGTCACTGGAAATCATTTTAACCTGAGTAAACCACAAAGCATTTTGCCTGAAATTTTGCCTTATATTGTAATTAACAATACTAACTCTTTAGTATAAAGAAGATAAGAGGTGTTTTATTATTTCAAACTGCAGAATTTCATATTAGATAAACGTTTATAAAATGCTACAATAACATGAGCGGCTCTAGTTTTTGTTCTGAAGGCAAAGCACGTGGAGCACACAGAAATATCATTGGTGATGAGATAAAACACATCAATCCTGTTGTCCTCATATAGCTCTCCACAGCAATTATTTAAGTGATTCAGAAGAGTATCTATCTTCCTTTTTCATATACAGAGATTTGTGTGATAAAAGGGCACTGGAGTAATAAAAAGTGGATATTTCACTGGGGGTTATGAAACACTATGTGCCTGAAATAAGTATGGTGAGTAATGCCAAATGGCATTTGCAAACTTTGAAACAAACTGAGTCACACGTTGAACAGAAAACAGCCCAACATACATGCCAACAAACCAATCCAGGGCAAAGGACTAGTGAGAACCAATGCAGTTTGATCACTGTCCAGCACAACTCAAACCTGAAAGAAACTTAAAAAAAATAATTACCAGAGAATTAATTTTTATAATATTTAAAGTTATTTTCCCTCTTTAATAATAAATTATAGGTTTTTAATGAATACATTATTGAAGTTATTCTTTGCCCCCCCTAAAAACCCCATTGTTTGAGTCCCTCAGTAGTTTTAAGGGAATTTTAATTTGATTTACTCATTTACACTGCTCTAAGGAAACTAAAAGCATTTACTTGCTTACTTTTCAAACTGAGAAAAATGTCTTAAGCACTTGCATAAGGAACACTGGCAAATTCTATCTGGGGAAACAGTAAGTGAACTGTTCAAAATTTCTACAGAAGGAGACTGAAAAGTATGGAAGTGTATGGAAAACATTGTTTCTTTTAACAAATTATCTAAAAAATCTTGTAAAATTAAATATGCAAAGTAAAAAATACTCTCCTAAATGAGGAGAAGGAATTTACTGACAGATAAGTCAAACCAGCAATAATTTACTAGAAGAGGGACAAAAGTTAAGAACTTCATCCCAGAACATAAATAAATGACCTAACAGATACAAATCATCACCATATAGAATGTAAGGATTGCAATAAAGTTAAATACCTTGACAGCAACTGGGTACTAAACCTATGCTTTCCAGCTTAGCTGTGTCTCTATGGAAGATCTGGCTTAAAAAAGAGACAAAATCAGAAATTGGCACTATGCAGATTAGGAAGAATCAAACACAGAAGTATAAGTAGGAATTGCAGAAGCTCCCAGCTCCACACAAGGACTTGCAGACAGGCCCTGCTACAGCGTAGGGCTTTGAAAGCCTGAAGGAGCCCTTGCTCCCTTTCATTTGCAACAATCTGTTTTGAGCTGGACTAGTTCATTGGAGTGCAAAGAAGCTCCATATACAATGACTGGGTACAATCTGGAGTGGCGTGCTGTTTTTTCATAAAGCATGACATTTTATGCCAGTGGACAGTTCTATCTTACTGTGGTTTGTGGTCCCAGTGTTGGTCAGTGTCATGACTTCTAACTTCTTCTGGTGGCTTTGCCTTCAAAACAAAAATCCCTCAGTGCTGTTCTACATGGTGAGGTTATTGTTAATCCAGAGCCACTCAGAGCTGCCCAATAAGAAATGCTGAGATGTGGGTTCACTCCTATTTCGATCCTTCTGTAGGCATGAACCATGTCCTAGCTCTTAGTTTCACAGCCTATTTAGACATACTCCTAAGAATATGCATCCTACACCTCAAGTTGCCTTTTTATTTTCTCTCTCATTTTCTTTTTTTTTTTTTTTTTTTTTTTTTTCTTTTCATGTTTTAAATGGGAAGGTGGGAAGGCCTCCTTCTGGTCCATAGCAGACACCTGGAAACTGGAGAAACTTGGTACTGCCTTCTCTGCCTGAAGGTTTTCCCCAGCAGACCAGTCTGACCACAAAGCTCCTGTCTCTTTAGAATTAGGAAAAAAAACCCCAACACCTCTCATCTTCCTATTGAGCTTCATATTGCTTATTTAAAGGTCTTTCAGCCTGAAAAAAAAGCAGCATGAAAAGAAGCAGGACTCTGCAGCACAGCCCAGTCATTTGCTGTGGAGAGGAAAGACAGGTGCTCCAAGCAGCAGCACCAGTCCCACCAAGTGGAAGCAGCTGACCCAGTCCTAGTGTCCTAACACACAGGCTTGCTACAAGTACACAGAACAGATTGAACCCCTTGGGCACTGTACTCTAATGTTTATCCAGGTTTAGGATCCAGATGAGGGTCAGCTCAAGGTAGGTGTTCAGCTGGTCAGTGCTGTTAAAATAAGATTTTTAAAACTTTCACATTTATGTGCTTTTAGTCACTAATAGTCAACTAATTGTTTGGTCTGATTTTTGGTTTTGGTTTGCCTGGTTTTTTGTTAAACTATCAAGGTTCAGGATTCCTGGTTCGTGAGGTCCATTTTAGTTACTAAATCTTTTTGTGGAGATGGGACTCAATGACAAAGGATTGTTTTGATTCAGGCTCCAAATTAATCTTGAATCTCCTGTAACTGTTTCTGAAGGACATTTGCAAGTCAGACGCAAACACCTAGAATAACATAGTCCCACCTTTTCGGAGAATCTAAAGGAATTCAGATGATTGAGCTTCTTTATTTACAAAGTTGTCTCATCCATGGTCCCATCTTTTCACTCCTGAAGTTTTTGGGTTTCGGTATATCTGTATTATTCAGCTTAAGTGCTGTAATGTCTTATTTATTTTATGTATGTCTCTATCCACAGTTTACCACCTAATGAACAGGTCCAATTATAAAAGATGCATTCAAGGAAGTTTCAACTCACTCCCAGCCATCAGGGAAGCAAATGCAATCCAGTTCAGCCTGCGAGCAAACAGCAGTTTGAAGTCAACGTTGTGCAGAACAAGCTATGCTTACCATCAGCAGCCCTTTATAAGCGTAGACAATCCCAAGCCAAATTGTCATGTGAGTGTTTTCGCAGTGCTCCAAGATCGGTCGGATGGAGATATCTCTGCCTGCAGGGTCCGGCTGCAAAAATAAAACGTGAAATATTTGGATTCAGATTTCATTTGTATTCACACCTCAGAGGTACTTGAACCTATTCTCAGTAGATTGAGAATGTGTGGAATACAGTACAGAATGAAGAATTTACAAGTAACTTCTGACCACTACAGAGCCATGAACCCACAAAGGAATACAGTAAAAAACACACAGCTGTCTGATAGCTACCACCAGGTGAGGTCACCTCTACCGCAAACCAGAGAGAAAATCTCTGAAGTCACTCTTTAAGGTGTCAGTCTTACTGACTGAAGTCAGTCTTCAAGAGTGTCACTCACATTTATCAGCTTTAGGACATCTAATTTTTCTACAAGGCAAGCAGCTTGAATGCACAGGCATGGAAATAAATGTGCTTGAAGTCATCCTTCCTTTCACCTGCTGCTCTTGTGTCACTGGCAAATAGCTGATAAACAATGTATGAAACATTGCTGTGTTTCAGGTGTTTTTTCATTGATAGCCATGAGCTAAAATCAAAGACCATTTACCATGGAAATTACAGCAGTAGCTTAGAAGGGAGCATAAATCATAAAAAAATCTGGGAAAAAAATGTCCTTTAGCGCAAGTGAATATCTATGTAAAATTTAATACTGTTGGAAGCTTTGTAGCTTTCCATTTACTTTGAAAAGGAGACTGTATAGAAGTGCAGAATCAAGAGGAGATGCAGACAATCAGGAATTTTTGTATGAAGGAGAAGTTATCATTGAGATTTAGACAAACCTGCAAGAACGATGCATCCCTCACACTCCTCACTTTTTAAAAAAACCCAACCAAACAAAACCCAAAACCCAGGAGAAAAAACAGTTGACACAAAGACCAAATGGGCTATAGTTACTATACTGTCTATACTTAGAATATATATTATGGCCTGGTAAAATGCTTTTTAATGGTGTATATTATATAAGAACACCAGATTCTTCTTGTATGTGCTTCTATGAGATCCTGTTTTAGTTAGCACAGAATACTCCTGTTGGGTATTCAGAGCTGTGTGTGCCTACATTCTGTATTGCTTTACAGGAAACTGAAAAACTGAAAGCTATTTCTCCTTTCTAATTTGAAGCACTGGATTGGAACTTAAGCTAAACAAAGATCAACCCAGACGTAACTTTGCAATTTCCCTTTTTGATTAATACTGTGCATAAATTGTCTTATGCAAAAGTATAATGATTATTACATGAGGTAAGAAAAAATTACAGTTTCACCAACTGACAAATAGGATTTTAGAGAGATCTGAATAATTTCCTAAAGCTTATTCTTGCTGCTTCTGATGCTGGTATGAATTTTGCTATGGATTTCAGTGATCACAAGATTAATCTACAGCTCAGTTTCTTCCATCAATCTGTTTGTATGGAAGGTATTGTCCCTGATCTCATATGCTGTGAAAAAAATAATATATCAACTAACAGGTGGACATGGGGCTGGGGGCAGGGGAAACCCAACATCCATGTGCTATGGACTGCAGAGTCAAAAGATTCTTTGCAAATCCTATAGTAGGCAAGACATTAACATTTAAAACTTTTCTAGTCCTGGACTTCTGTCAAAACCCTGAACAGGAGAATAAAGATCCTTGAAAAAAGGTGTCCTGATATAAAATATGATAAAAAGCAAGAAGATGATATTAACACTCCCAGAGAGCTTATGACTCTACCTCAGCAGCTGCTAATGGCAAGTCAACAACCATTAGCTGAAGAATTGAAATGACTGCAAACATTAAGTGGCATCACAACATTTAAGATTATACAGATGTTTGTCTGGGCATCAGTTAAACTACCTCATTCTCCTTCATCAATGTCAAAAACCAAATGCTAAAATTTAGGTGCACTGAAGGGAAAGTAGTCTTTCATGTCAAAGCTAAAACCTGCCAAGTTCAATGTCATTTTTGACCAGTCACAACATGACAAATTATTCAAATACAGCTCTGGATGTGTAACTGATGTGTGAACTACACCTGAGCCTGCTAGAAAGATACTTTTTTTTCCATCTTTGAGTTTTACTATGCCAACAGTTGCATTTCTCTTGATCTGGCATTATGGAAATTACATCAAATTGAAGTCTGTGGTCATCAGAATATATTTTCTATTTTTTTTTAATTAGGTTTTCTTCCCCCCTTTCACACTAGGGAGTCAGCACAGGACTGTCTGTTCATTTGCCCAGCCCTTTGTCCATTCTGTCATGTATTCCCAAATGGAAAATGTAGTTTGTTTTCAAATACTACAGCAGAGAAAGAACTCACATCATTTCTTAGCAGGAAGACTGCTAGATATTACAAGGCAATTATATTTTTTTAAAAAAATCTTAATTAAATAAAACAGTGTATTCAGATTTCTTATGTGAGATAAGAAATGCCTGTGATGTGCTCTAGGGGGAGCAGGAAAAGAGAGAATAATGATTGCAGCATCAGCAAAAATGTACATGGGGCAGCACTTCTTTCAAAGCACTTTCCAAAATCTGCAAGATGGTAGTATTTTCAAGAAAATTTTGCTAAAGTCTTGTGCATGTGGAGTTCAGCATTGGCAGGTAGCAATAATTTTAGTGAACTGCTTTTGCTGATTACTTTTTGCTGCAGCAAAATGACATCCCTGTTTTACTCTTTTTAATTTGCCATTCTGTTTCTTCACTGATTTTGCATGAATTAACTAATCATGGCAAAAAGCTGGATTAAAAAAACATATGATATTTTCTGGTGTCAAAAGAATTTTTAAAAACTCTACAATTACAGCTGAATGGAGCACTTTACTGACCTCTCCAATCATGCACTATTTGTGCACTTTGTTACTGCTTTAGAAAGGATGACAACATAAATGCTACCAGTGATTATAAATGTACTGGAAATTTGCCCTTTCCTTTTATAGAAAATAATCTAAATGCCCTTCAGATGTTGTTCTCAAAAGCCTGAAGACCTCATATCTTGTGATTAGGCTGAAGCTTTCCTACCTCTTCTGACACCTAATAAGGTTTCCAAGATTGACATCAATTTCTGGAGTGTTTTCAGCAGTTGAACACAAACAGTTTAATCTGTTCACTTCATACAAGAGTTGTGTATCTTCTCCAGTAAAACATTTGTTTTACATCAGATCTGCTAGGTTGGGAAAGCAACCAAACCAATAAACAGATTATCTACAAAATATTTATATCCCCTTTCTGTGCACATTCAGATTATTATTAGTCACTTTTGTAGTGTTGTGGCTTTTTAATTTTATTTGTTCTTCAGTCTGCTGGTGGGGTGGGAGGCCCTTGACATAATAGGTGAAAAATAGCTTTGGTGGGTACTGCCAGAGGGAAGAGTAAAGCTTAAAACCACCTGGAACCAGCAGGGAAATATGTAGGGGCAATGATAGAGACTGCTGAGTGCCTCCTGCTTCCCTGCACCTCCTTGAAATAACTGAGCAGGGATGAGACTTGTTTCCTTCACATATCAATGGATTGTGTTAAAAAGCTACAGCCTTGATCTGTGCATGCTTTCCAGAGTGACCTGTGCTAGGGAAGCAAAAAGGCAGTGCTGCAAATGCAAGTGCAGTTTTTCTGGAGCAATTTTCTCAGTTCCTTTAAGATCTGGCTCTACTTGAGTAAACAAATGTATGTAGTGTAATGGAGAGCTTTCCAGCTTTCTTTATCTCAGGCTAAGGTGTGGGAAGAGAGGGCAAATCACTCTGAGGCACGTGTGCTTTCCAAGCATGGTATTATTTGATTCATATAAAGACAGTCCATGTCTCCTTTTTTTTTTTTCCATCTATAACTATGAATTCTTACTGGCTATTACACTAGTCAAAGATCCCTTTGGAGAAGATCTCGAACTGTGGGAAAATATTTGTAGGACAATTAATGCATCACTGACTTTTTTTTGTGTGTGACTTTTTGTGTATTGTCATTCCTTCTCTATAGCTCCACATAGGACCTAAAAGGAGAAAGGGTCTATGTTGAGGGTTGGACTACATGGCTTTACAAGGCCCCTTCCAACCCAAAACATTCTATGAGTCCATGTTCCACAAGGTGTTTCATACAGCAAATGTCTGTGAAAAACAGGTTGGGTCACCCTACAGTATCCAAAAGTCCTTGACTTTCCTAGAGTATTTCTTCTAAGTGGTCACCCCATCAGGTCCTTTTGCCAGTACAGCAGATGATCCTTATTTACAGATCTGGTGCTGCTGTGTAACGCAGCTCAGGAGTGGATAATCTCAGCAAGCTTGCTAAGAAACTTTGCATCAGATTTCCAGTGTGACATTGTCTTCCTTCTGCAGCTGCAGTTTCAGCAGTGAGAAAATCAGAGCACCAGGCCTGCCTCAGTCTTTTCAAAGATGGGTATGAAACATAAGGTAAATAGTTGTAGCTTCTGTTTACTGGGTTTAAAATAAATTGTGCAGTTCCCATAGTATAGTAAAATACAGGAGCATACTCTTCTGTCACACTGTTAAAATGATCCTCATATCCCATCCTACTCTCTGTTTTGTCTTCCTTTTAAATGGCTTCCATCTAACTGGCATAATGTCTGTATATTATCACTAATCTGCAGCATGAATTAGACGCCTCTGGCATTTTTAATTTGGCACATTAGACAGTCATATGGAGACCAAATGTGATTTCTTGTCTGAAAATCCAGACTTTGCTAAATTAGATCATACTTACTTCTTTTTAAATTAACTTCTTACCCCCCCTCCCCTTTCCCGCCCACTCAAGGATAATTATAGTTGGCTTCTACTGTAAATTCTATAAAAAATTAAATTTACATGCATGTTATAACAGACCCTCCTTGGTGCTAGACTGCACATCCATATGGAAAGGTGTTCCACAAAAGGATTTACACAGTTTTTGCAAGCAGTGTATTGCAGCCAGGCTCTCAATTACTGATGAAAAGAGAAAAAGAAGGATCACAGGCTGTCTACTTTTCAATTACTTAATAAATTGAGGGTATTTTTAGAGAAAAACAGCTGTGATATAAAAAGAGATTTGCCAGGAAACAGATCACTTTTGTGTCA